TTGAAAAAACAATTTATGCTCCGTGCCTCCAGTTAAAAGGCAAGCACCCACTCTGGAGTTGTTCTGTAAATAAGGAAAAGACCCCAACTCTAGGAGCTCAGTTCTCCACGCAAAATAGGTTATGTTTTGCTTGCTTTCAACCTGACCACATGTTCCGAAAATGCCCTAAAGCCCGCAAATGCACCAAGCCTGGTTGTGAAAGGACCCATAATGTCTTGTTGCATGGTGCTGAGAAAGTGATCAGCGTAAGGTCTGCGCGCAAAATAGTTTTAAGGTGAGAAAGTTTTAGGGTCATAAAACTGAAAAACTTTTAAGGTAAGCTCAGTTCTCCGCGCAAAATAGGTTGTGTTTTGCTTGCTTTCAAACTGACCACATGTTCTAAGCACTAAGCCTGGTTGTGAAAGCACCCATAATGTCTTGTTGCATGGTGCTGAGAAAATTTTCAGCGTAAGGTCTGCAAACAAAGAGTTAAACAATAGCAATAACGCAAGCCATTCAAATTCTAACTGTACCGCCCCGCCGAACCGGAATAAGCCGCAAATTTTGTCATCGCACCTACCCGGTTTGCCGTCTTACATGAAATTAAAGGGACTCCTTCCTGTACTTCAATTGGAAATAAATTTACACACAGACGTGACCACTGCTCTTGTAATGTGCGATTCCTGTTGTACCCACTTATGTTTCTCGGCGGGCCTAGCACAGCGTTTAAATTTAACTGGTCAAAAGCTAGATATTCTGGTAAACGGCTTCAATTCGATGGAATCCGTTCCCACGCAACAAGTCGAAGTGAATGTTTTTGCCAAATTCGACCACCATGAACACTCGTTTAGGGTTACGCTGTTTGTGAAAGACAGTTTGAGCGTTGGTTCCGAAACCATTGAAGTTACCATTCTCCAAAACAGGTTTCTACATCTTCAGGCAATTAAACTTATTGTCTACAACTATTGCCACGTTGAGATGATATTAGGGCAGGATGTCTTTCATGCAATCAAGCCTCTCGAATACTTCCAAGGAGGAAATCAAAATACTCCTGTCGCTGTCCGTATGGCCATTGGCTAGGTTCTCAGTGGCCCACTTCCATCACCAATGGTGTTCGAGTCACCAATCTCAAGTGCAATGTTGAAGACGTAGCACTCGCTGACCAATTGAAGAATTGGTACGAGCTAGAATCGTATGGCACGTTTAAACAAGCTGATCCCCGTTCCTCAGCTGATAAACGTGCTCAAAACATTCTTGACTCTACCACGCTTCATGATGGCAGCCGTTATAGTGTCGGAAAGCTCTGGGCTGATGACAACATTCATCTTCCCGATAACTTTTACGCTTCATTGGTCCAGTTTAAGGCTCTTGAAAAGCGTCTAGAGAAAGATTTTAACCTGAAAACTCAATACGCATCAGATATACGAAGTGATGTCGAGAAGGGTTACGTAGTCCCAGTTAGCACTCGCGACTCAAAAAACCGTTCAGACCGAGAATGGTACCTACCGCACCACCCAGTTTCAAATCCGAACAAACCCAGCAAAGTTCGGCGCGTTTTAAATGGTGCTTCTAAGTTTCACGGCAAATCACTGATTAACTCCCTTCTCGTCGCCCCGATCTGCTTCAGAACCTTTGCGCTTTGCCGAACAGCCGTCGACAACCAAGATCGTTACCCCTATGCCGCTTACGCCGTGCTAAACATTTTTTACATGGATGACTACCTTGGGTCTGTGAAAAACCCAGAAACTGCTTTAATGTTAGGTCGCAGTTTAGTTGAACTGCTTAATTGCTTAAGTTGGGTGGGTCTAATCTTACACAATTTATTAGCAGCGTTCCCAATTTGTCTTCGAAACTAAATCCCCCTAAGACCAGCGCTAACAACAGTAAGGAAATTATTACCGCTGCGATTAATCCGGAAACCGCATTGCATGTTCTCGTTCTCAAATGGGACCACGTCACCGATAAGTTGGTTGTGAGCAGAGGAGTTAACCGCGAACTCAAAGACTCTGTTACGCAGCGATCGGTTCTTAGTTTTGTGTCCTCCTTGTTCGACCCCATAGATCTTGTCGCCCCGTATACCGTACGCGCACATTGCTACTGAAAGATATCTGGAGATTGAGTGGCCAACAGTGGGACGACCCACTGCCAAATGAGTTGTGCCGCAGATTCACTGAATGGCACTCTGGCTTGCCAGTTTTAGGGCAGCTCAAAATACCTCGTTGCTCTTCTGACTTCCCAGTAGATAAGGTTGAGCTGCATATGTTCGGTGATAGCTCATTGGACGTTTTCTGTTCTGCAGCATTCCTTAGAGCTCACAACAACGCCGATCGTTTGTCTTCGGTAAAGCAAGAGTAGCCCCGATGAATATGCTTTCAAATCCGAAGTTGGAACTTCAGGCTGCGCTTCTTGCTAGTCGCCTGAAAAATGATATCGAGAAAGCTCTGACACTGAGTATTTCCAAAGTGTTCATGTGGACTGACAGCACAACAGTCCTTCAGTTGTTGAAATTGACAAGCAAACAGCCCGTGTTTGTAGCCAATCGAGTAGCCGAGATTCTGGAGTCAACATCAATTGACCAATGGTTCCATGTTTTGAGTGGAGACAACCCCGCTGACACCGGAACTAGAGGTATTGCTGCTGATTCCCTCAAGCAAAGCAGTTGGGTGAACGGCCCTTCCTTTTTGAAAACTTCTGATTGGCCTTTCAATTCAAGTAGGGAAGTTACTGACAAAATTCGCCTGGATGGTCCGGTTTACGATCTGAATGAAGGTTTAGAGGTCTCTTCCAATTTTCCGTGCACTGCAGTTTCGACTGACTTTGCCTTCCTTTGGGAAGAGTATAGCTCGTTCTCCAAGATAAAGCGACTGGTCGCATATATGTTGAGACTCTCACCTAAGCATAGACTTTTCAGATCACCAGATAAGGCCATAATTAATCCAGCAGAACTTGTAATTGCAGAGGAAAATTTTTTGCAACTTTTGCAGTTAGAGTCATTCCCAGCTGACAGTAAACAATTAGCAGCTGGAAAATATGTGAAAACATCGAGCCGTATATCATCGTATTCGCCTTTTATCGTACCGAACAGTTTAATTAGATATACCGGCCGTATCCAACGTCTCTCTGCAACCGCACTCGAAACTCGCCATCCAATAATTTTGGATAACCGCCATCGCTTAATCCGATTGTTTCTCCGTTTTTATCACATTAAGCACGAACATCAGTCCGTCGACTACCTTTGTTCCGTCGTTCATCAGCAATTTGTTGTACTACGCTTAAGATCTGCACTAAGAACTATTGAAACACATTGCGTGTGCTGTAGAAAACGAAAAGCGAAAACCGTTACTCCAATGATGTCTGACCTTCCCGGGGAGCGTCTAGGTTACCGCCAGCCACCGTTCGGGAGCTGCGGCGTCAATTTTTTGGACCATTTCATTTAACCATTCCTTGATCTTCCGAGAAACGCTGGGGTTTTCTATTTACTTGCTTAACGACTCGCGCAATTCACATTGAGTTGGTTTCATCCATGGACACAAGTTCATGTGTGATGGCTATCGAGCGCTTTAGTTCTAGGCAAGGAACACCCCCAATAATTTGGTCGGACAACGGAACAAACTTTGTAGGAGCCGAAAAAGAGCTTCTTCTGTGCATCAAAAATTCTGTGCATCTTCTTCTGTGCTCGTACACAAAGGCATTAAGTGGAAGTATAATCCTCCAAGAGCACCACATCCAGGTGGAGCATGGGAGCGAATGGTGCGCAGTTGTAAGCGCGTGTTTTATGCAATCTTAGGGTCAAGAAAATTGACTGAAGAGATTTTGAACACAACCATGTGCCTAGTTGAAGGATCACTAAACGCCCATCCACTCACTCCCGTTTCTGACGACCCAGATAGTCTTGAGGCTTTGACGCCGAATCATTTCATCTTAGGTCAGCACAGTCTAACAATTCCATCTCTAAGGTCGAGTGAAAACCATTCTCACTCTAAATGCTATGCCCGTGCGCAGTCGTACGCAAACGCAATTTGGCAGCGATGGTTAAGTGAGTACGTCCCTACACTCAATAAAAGAGTTAAGTGGCATGCTCGTCCCGAATATTTTTTGAAAACGGGAGATATGGTGTGGTTAGTTGAATCCACTAGCTCTAGGGGCCACTACCCACTAGCACGCATAATGTCGCTAAATTACGGCAAAGACAACACCGCCCGTTCCGCAAACCTTAGGACCGTCTCCGGAAACTACACTCGACCTCTCGTTAAGCTTGTTCCGCTTCTCGCTCCTTCTGGGGCGAAGGATGTTAATGCTACATAGCATTAAGTTGAAAGTTTAGTATAAAATGAGCATAGTCTCCTGTCAAAACGAGCTATATAGCCCAGCGTATACATAGTGCGTTCCGGGGAGTTCGGCGTGGGTTCGATTCTCACCTAAGTCGTTTGATTTGAGAATCCTATTTGAGCCGAACCTGACAGAACATAAAATGCTATTATTTTAATCGGTTCCAAATTGGTTTGCAATTGAATTTCTGTTAATTAAACAGCGTGAACTAAGCATGAAATTACCCTTTTCTGTTTCCTGTTTTTATTCGAGTTATAAAAAAGATAAAAAAGGCCAGAATTTGAACAGATAGCCTCTGGATTTATCCATACTTGTTGGGAATTCCCTTTTTTCTGAAGAAATAACTTGTATTATAAGCATCGAAATGAGGTTCTTCCAAGCAAAGAGCAACTAGAAACTCCCCTAAATGAAGTTTCGGTCGTTAACATGCTATGCTGAGCTTGAGAATATTTTCCATTGTGGATTTTTCTCAATTGAAGGAATCATTTTTTTGAACGTTGTCTGTAATTCTTCTAGATTTTATCAAAAAAATATATTATTTTATTCATCTATTAGATATTAAGACTGTCACGGAAATTATTTATTCTCGATTAAAAATATTTGAATTTTCAGATTATGGGTGACTTCAAGATGAAATGATGACTAACGTCTGTCAATCAAAGATGCGCAAAAAATACCGATTGTTTCTGTACCTGATAGACATCTATACATGTGTCGCCACTCCTCCAAAAATGCTTCCTTGAATCTTTCCGCGAAATCGAACCTCAAAACACTGCCTCTCAACCCCCCTGAATGACTCATCTCTACGTAAACATCCACAGGCTAAAATTAAAGTCATTACAAGGAAAAACAACTAAAGTTTCAGTGGTCCATTTATTTATTAGTCTCAAAAGCTATGAGCTCTCTCGAATCAGAAGTAAAAAAACAAGATTGCAAGATATTCGCTTTCAAAACCACAGGATCGTCTTAACTAGACTAAATAGTTTGCCTAAATTCATTTCAAAGATTTCTGAGATGGTGGATTATTTCACCATTCACATGTTGTAGAAACAATATACTGCGCGTTAGTTTTTCCAAAAAATGACCAAAGAGAATATGAGCTATCCAGGTGATTTTTCCCCTCGTTTGCGGTCAGGAAATCAATGACTTGCAAAAGGTGTAGCTCAAAAAGTTGTCAAAAATTCTGGCTCAAAAATTCGAAATTCGTCATTACGCGGCCAAACTGTGCATTTTGTGATTTGTAAGCGGATTCCGCAACAGGCCAAAATCAGATCTGTCGTGGAACCCTCAACATTGCTACTTTTCTTTGATCTTTTTTGCTGTTTTGGATTCCACGGACAAATAGCTAAAACACTGTATTGCTCAAAATCGCTCCAAAAACAAGCAACTTTGCGGAATCCGCAACAAATTTTGAGGAATCCGGAACAATTTGTGGAATGCATAAATGCGTGTGTGATTTATTAAAGCTGGGATGTCGTGGAATCCGCAAATTGTAGGCGGAAACCGCAAATTTGTAAGCGGAATCAGCAAATTTTAAGCGGAATCCGCATAAATTTGCGGAAACCACTTACATTTACTGGATCTGCTTATTTTTGCGGATTCCAGATTGAATACCTACATTCGCTCGTTGCGGAACCCGCAACAGAACCAATAAGCCGACAAAATTTGCGTTACAGGTACTTGGACGCGGAAACCACAGAAGTTTTGGTAGGTAAAATTTACTTAGATTTTGAAACCCAGAAAAATGCAGACACAAAATTGTGCTTCTATCCAGTGCTCATTTTAACCATGTAATGGTCTGGCGAAAAAGTCATCTCGAGCACATTTTTTCCGTCCCTTTCATCAAAAACTGAAACAACAAGCTAAAACGTCAAGTTGTTTTTCAACTAATGTAATTCTCGGAAATAGTTGTCTGTTCATTTTCTATTCAATTACCCAAATTTTGCTGTCGTAGAATACAAATCGAGCTAAAGCACTCAAAATAGCGCATTACCTGGGTTAACGTCCATAAAAAATGGTTATCATTCTGTTTCATATATGCAGTCCATGAAAAAATTGCTTCTCAAACTATAACCGTGGAAAAAAATTTAAAAAATTTAAAATAAACTTTTTTTCAATCAAAAATACCTTTTTTCAAATTTTATCTTGAGTTTTTGTTACACAAGAGCAACTTTGCTATCAAAAAAAATATGAATCAAAAATACTCATCTAATTACTTATTTGACATTTATGTTCCAGGTGTTTTTTAAAGAAAAAGTACAAAATTGATGTAAATTTTTTTTTCTTGATAGCAAACTCGCTTCTGCGCCCATATAATCAATTTAATTTAAAAAAGTTTTTCCTGCAAAAGTTGATATTCTGAGGATATTCTGAGTTTTCCTCACAAAAAATCCAATAATAGCAAGCAAAAATTTTCTTTGTGTAAATAAATTGAGTGTTTTTTATATGCTAACATAAGCTTTAGTCTGTAAAAACTAGGGGCCATTTTACTGAAATGTGATTTTTCAAATCTTTCTAGCCATACATAAAAAATCATAAATCTTTTGTATAATTTAAAAGTTTTTTTATATAAGTTACAGTTTTTTAATACACTTCTGTGTGAAAATCAAAACATGGGTTTCATAAGGCAATTCATTAAAAGCAACTTATCTGTGCTGTAACTGCCAAATAAAATCGTTACGTTTTGTGTTTTTGGTTTCATACGGTTTTGCAGTTTTCTTATAGGTTTCAAATGATTTTACAATTTTTTATTATATATTTTCACAGTTTTTAATTTAATTCTGAGTGAAAACCAAAGTATGGGTTTACATGGCAATTCATTAAATTTGTACAACAGCAATGCTTGTCGTAGAGTATCTTGGTATTAAATTTTTTTTGATACAATTTTGCAATAAAAATTTATGGCCAAATCATGCTGTTTATCTAGACTAACGAAAAAACGGTTATTATAAACTTTCTTTGCTATTTTCATACGAAGTTTTTTCTATACAATTGTATAAAATTGTATCAAATAAAGCCCCCGCTTAAAAATTAGTATATATTGGCGTCGACGGCGCCTTTAGAAAATATTTAAAATCCGTCAGCCAAAAATGAATATCTCGAAATTGTTCAAAAGAGCAGCCTCTGGGTCGGCAGGGGGTCGAATCCCTGGGGGGGGGGGGGGGGGGCAACGTCTGCCCTCGCCGCCGCCCCTTCCCAAAATCCGCCCGTGATATTGTATAATAAGCGTTTTTACCAGAAAGGTGAAAAAACGATGTTCCGTTAAATGAAATTTTATGATGAGTGTTTTTTTGGTCAAAAACTTTTGATGCTAAATTTGCTTTCATGAATCAAAACTGCCTCAATGTGGTAACTTTAGAGTTTTGAACCAAATTAAAATATTTTTACAATTCGATTTTAAAAATGATTATCATAATTACTTTATATGGTAATTGTGTAATAAACATTTTTTCCATGGACTCTGTATTTGAAATAGCATGATCGTCATTTTTCTAGTATGAACTTCAACCAGGTTGGTCGCGGCACTCTCTTCAAGCTCAAGTTGAGAGCCATACGCCATATTCTGGAAATGCCGAAACTATTTCAAGATACTCGTGACATAAAAAATGATGTCGCTTTGGGTTGCAACCATTTCAAACTAAAAGTGGATTTTTTTGATGACAATTCTAACAAAACTTTATCGTCAACTCTTTTAGTATTACAAATCATTAATCTACCTGCGATATACTTCCAGCGGATTTCTTGTCCCCGTGTACCATGAATCTCTGGTCGAAACCACAGTTGGAGAAGCGGGACAGTTCTATACAGGACACAGCCCCGGAAGGGAATTGCATGACCACAGTTCCATTGTCATGGTCATCTAGCCCTTTTAGGCTGGGGTCGAATGCATGACCCATACAGAACACCTTACATGGAATAAATTTTATTTCATAGTTGAGGAAACGAAATACGAACAATATAAGTGTATATGAAAACCTGCAAAAACAGACCTTTTCCCTCCAAAAGATGAAAGTCAAGCTATGAAGCAATAACTTTTTCTGAGCTTAGGTTATAAAATCAGCTTCGTAAAATAACTGTGATCTTAAAACTTATCCATAATTGTACTTTAAAAAAAAAGTTTTAAGAACTTGGAGTTCAACTTTTCAAAATTTTGATTCAGAAAAACTGGATCTCTTTAACTAATCCCAGGCTTTTCCCATTAATTTTGGAGTAATTTTTCTCGTTTTTTTCTCCCCTTCAAGTGCAAAAGGCGCCGCGGGTGGGGGGGATCAAATAACTATTTTGCTATTTTGCGCGTACAGTGTGTGGTTTTTCGCCCATAAGCCACAAAGCCAGGTCGACGTCATGAGTGCCGCAGTCGTAGTAGATGTTGGGAGAGCGCTGCAGGAAACTCATAGGGGGATAGGGGCAGTCTCGGTTCACCTGAAACGGGATGCTGATTTGCAGCTGCATGACAATCGAAAATATTTGAGATAGCTAAATTTCTTATTTGTGTTTGCATCTTAAGCTTATTATATAGTTGATAGCTACCTAATCTGAACAAAAATTTTAAAAATGATTTCTCCTGATAAGAAAAAATTCTAAAATTCAACCGAGGAACGATAATCGGAACTGGGAACAATAAATTGGAACAATAAACATAAAAGACTTTATAACCAGGGCCGGACTCCCCCCCCCCCCCCTCAGGGATACGACCCCCTGTCGACCCTTTGGCCCAGAAAGTTTGGCCAAAACAGGGACTAAATCGTGCTTAGGAAGAGCTCGAAACATCAACTTGGTCGACCTTAAAAAAAAGGTCGACAAAATTTTCGAGCAATTTTTTTGAAAATCCGCCCCTCCCTCGAGAAAATCCTAGATCTGCCCCTGTTTATAACATCATGTTACTATATTTAATTAGAAGCAATAACCTGATTTATATTCAACAGAGTACCCAGTTCTCCCGCTTCTATTTGCTGCTTGACTTTTGCGGCAGGAGTATCGAATCGACGAAGCATAGCGCACAATAAATTTAAGCCACGTTGCTCGGCTGAAACAATTTTTTTTTCAAACACTGGTGATTTTTATGTTTTTATTCGTATATTGTGATTATGATGACATATACAGACTTAGCTTTCTGGCCATTTCTGCTGAGAACTTTTTTGTAAATTTTTGAGAAACGATAGATTGAACCAAAAACGCTCGAAAGTTAAAAAATTTTGGCCAAACTAATTAACTACTCTCGTTTTTTTTGCAAAATGTATCAGCTCTACAAGAAAAATGTATCAGTTTACAAGAAAGCTATGCATGTTTTCATCTTTTTTGTGAAGCTTTTATGATCCCAAACAATAATTTGCCTTGTATCAGACAGCAGTTTCAAGGGAATGGAAAGCGCCTTCGGCCATCATGATAAAATCGTTTAGTTGCTAGCAGTTTCTAAACACTTTGGACCGGTGAAGTTTCTTTTCTAGAAATATTTAGATATTAAAGCCCTTAATTCAAAATGGAAAAAAAAATTGCTGGTATAATTTTTTTTTGCAAAAAAATGGGGTTTTCAAAATTACCAATACCCCCAACTTTAGATAATGAAAATGCAAATTTGTGTGCTCATATGTTTTCCTTTAAAGTATGCCATATAGGAATCCGGCTTGGAAGGCATTCCAAATTGAACTGGTGCTAACTAATTGTTCAAAGTTTTCGTTTTAAGATACAAAAGACAGTGGGTTTGCACCCAAATTTAAGCGAGAAGGATGGTAGCATATGCAATAAGAAATAATTTGCATTCTGAGGTGTATATCAATTGATTTTAATCAAATACTACTCAAAAACGTGCTAAAGAGCAGCTTGAACGTTCAAGATTTTTTTTGTACACGATTTTATTAGGCTCTAAGTTTATGAAATTATGTTGATCGCTTCAAAGTGAATCCGAAAGACGAATTTTTGTAAAACACTTTATTGTTCCGACTTTCGATACGAAAGTAACGGAATATTTGTGCTCGGGGTGGGTTTTTTTTTCTTCAGACAAATTTCGACTTTTTAACTAGCCATTTTTGACGGAATTTTTTTTATCATTCAAAAAGTATTGTTGTCCTGAGCTTAAATTTGAAAAGATATTTTATCTGTGATTGTTTTTCGCAAAGTTATGGGGGTTTAAAGACTGATATTTTGGCCAGTTTGGGACAATTAACACGTGCGATATGTTTCGCACTATTACCGCGCAAGCGGAGATTTAATCCGTCTTAGAAGTAGTTCCAAATTGGTTGAAAGGAAACTTATTTGCCGGCAATGAGTTGTAACAATAAGCAAAATCTATTGTTTTGTACTTTATATGGCGTGTGGGGGGATGATTTTAAAAAATTTTCAAATTAAAAAAAAAATTTCATTTTTCTTTATTACAATTAATTTTTTAAATGTTTTTACTGCTCCGTAAACCTCAGAAGGCAGTCGGAAGATTCAGGGCTTCAAACTGATACGAGCAATCTTGTCGATATTTTCTGCATAAAATCTATTCCGCAGGCAAAAGCGTCTGGTTAAAAGCAGAAATTTTGTTTCTGGGTGTTTTTTGTTAGCGTTTTAAACATGTTGGCTGAAAAACTGGTGAAAAACTCCTTGTAACAAATCAATTATGGCAAAGAAGCTTCTTTCAACCAATTTGGAACGATTTCTAAGACGGATTAAATCTCCGCTTACGCGTTAAAAGCGCCAAATATATCGCACGTTAGTTGTCCCAAATTGGCCAAAATGCCAATCGTTCAACCCCCATAATTTTTTTAAAAAATGATCACAGGAGAAATATCTTCTCAAATTTAAGCTCAAGTCAATAATACTTGTCTGAAGAAAAAAACCCACCGCGAGCAGAAATATTCCGTTACTTCCGTATCGAAAGTCGGAACAATTAAAAAGAAAAAACAATTGTTAGCGTGATGACTTTTTCATTTTTTTGTTTTGTTCTTTTTTTCTTCTTTGTGTTTCATACTACCAGATAAACAAAAGTTTATATTGCTTCTCAGTAATAAACAATTGCGCAATCTCGACACTCGATGCAATATATTTCTGTTGGTATAAACCGTTTTCATAGAATGAAGAAGCATTTTTGTTTTCAACAAATGTGCTCAATATGTTTTCGAGCGTTTTTAAAAAAAACAAATACCTTATATCTTTTTGTGCTTTATTTGATCAATTAAACAACTAGAGTGAGAAAAAACTACGTGTTGGCGTGAAAAATTTTTGAATTTGAAATGAGCGGGTGTTGCTTGTGTTTTTTACATGTGTTTTATACAAAATAGGCAGCAGCTTGTTTTGCAACTCAAAATTTGCTTACCTGCTTAATTGGATTTTTGTTCCGACTTTCGTAATGAAAGTAACGGAACAATTAAGCTCGGGTGGGATTTTTTCTTCAGAAAAATGTGTGCTTTTTAACTAGCCATTTTTGACGGAATTTCTAAGTATCATTCAAAAGGTATTGTTGTCTTGAGCTTAAATTGGAAAAGAAAGTTTACCTGTGATCATTTTCCGTAAAGTTATCGGAGTTTATAGATTGCCATTTTGGCCAATTTGGGACAATTAACGCGCGATCTATTTAGCGCTATTAACGCGCAACCAAGGATTTATTCCGCCTTAGAAATCATTCCAAAGTGGTTGGAAGCTTAATTGCCACAGTTGATTTGTTGCTAATAGCGAAATCTATCAATTTCTACTTTACATGGCGTGTCGGAACATTCAGGGCTTCGCCATGATACGAGCAGTCTTTTTTTTGCATTTCGACACTGCGTGTCGAGATTTGTGTCACAAATTTTCTCGATGCAATTTTTAGCTGTTGTTTATCAACTACACAGTTACTACAGTGCTGATTTAAATTAACCGGACAAAACGAGTTAAACTTGAAACTAAAAACGCGTTTCTCTCAAATTGGGTTCAGTTTAGGTGAAAACTTATGAAGACAAGTAATTTTGCAAAATTAATATGGTGCCGTTTGTTTTAGAAAGTTCGGGCCCAAAATTTTACTCCAAAAATGGGTCATTTTGGTTTTTCTTAGTTAATCAAAAATTACGCCAAAAATACCTAGTCGATCACAGACATAATTATATCAAAGAGAGCGCCTGACGTAGCCCAACAAACTTTAAGAAGGGCATGTTCATCAAAACATTGTATAAGTTAATTAATTTTTGTTTGATAGACAAAAAAGGTCGTTTTTACTATATAAAATATTGTTTTCAAATAAAAAGTTGGTATTTTATATGGTAAAAACGACCTTTTTTGTCTATCAAACAAAAACTAATTAACTTATACAATGTTTTGGTGAATATACCCTTCTCAAAGTTTGTTGGGCAACGTCAGGCGCTCTTTTTGATATAATTATGTCTGTGATCGACTGGGTATTTTTGGCGTAATTTTTGATTAACTAAGAAAAACCAAAATGACCCATTTTTGGTGTAAAACTTTGGGCCCGAATTTTGCACAAAAAATTACACCATATTAATTCTGCAAAAATTTTAAGTAACTCTTGTCTTCATAAGTTTTCACCTAAATTTTACCCAACTTGAGAAAAAGCGTTTTAAATTTCAAGTTTAAAGCGTTTTGTCCGGTTAGTTTAAATCAGCACTGTAAACAGTTCTGGAGATCGGAATCATTGATAGAGATGCGCATACAGATCTTTTTTGAGGTTCTCGTTGTAAAGTACCTAAGGGGGAACCCTTTGTGCGGTGAGGGGTTTTCTGGAAGAACAAGTCACAGAAACCCATCCATCCCTTGAAATCGCTTCCGATTGAAATTTCAAAACTAATTAATTCTGAATAATAGCTTGTTTATTAATTTTCATTTTTAGTGGGGACTACTTGATGCCAACGATGGATCCACTCAATCCTAAGTAGGGATGGGGAATGGTTATAATTTGCTGAGGCATGGGGATTCTATGACAGAAACAGCCGTTGTTTCCTTACCTGTGTCGTAGACAGTTGCCACAGCCTCTAAAGTGTGAACTAAGGGCTTTTCACAGAACACGTGCTTGTCTCTTTTCAGTGCCCGGAGGATGACTTGTTCATGCAGGGGAGTGGGAACACAGATACACACCACATCCGCCTCATCAATCGCAGCATCAGTCTCCTTCACTGGTCGGAGCCGGATGCCCTGGTGAATATTGAAATGCAGTTAAAATGAGAGTAAGCAAGCGTGAAGAGAATTTTGGGCTGCGACAAGTTTTGGACAGTTTAGTTAGAGCTTTTTTTCAGATAGTGAAATTTCATCAAAATATCAAATGCATTCAAACTGTTCTGAGAAAAAATTCATTCATGAGCAAAAAATGTCCTGGTGAAGAGAGAAAAACGATACCGCAGTCAGGCCGATAGGTGTTGCATTTTTGCCAGCACCGAGACAGAGTAGAAGTTTTAAAGAAAACACCGAGTAGAAGTTTTATAGAAAACACCGAGTAGAAGTTTTAAAGAAAACACCGAGTAGAAGTTTTAAAGAAAACACCGAGTAGAAGTTTAATAGAAAACACCGAGTAGAAGTTTTAAAGAAAACACAGAGTAGAAGTTTTAAAAAAACACCGAGTAGAAGTTTTAAAGAAAACACCGAGTAGAAGTTTAATAGAAAACACCGAGTAGAAGTTTTAAAGAAAACACCGAGTAGAAGTTTTAAAGAAAACACCGAGTAGAAGTTTTAAAGAAAACACCGAGTAGAAGTTTTAAAGAAAACACCGAGTAGAAGTTTTATAGAAAACACCGAGTAGAAGTTTTAAAGAAAACACAGAGTAGAAGTTTTATAGAAAACACCGAGTAGAAGTTTTAAAGAAAACACCGAGTAGAAGTTTTAAAGAAAACACAGAGTAGAAGTTTTATAGAAAACACCGAGTAGAAGTTTTAAAGAAAACACCGAGTAGAAGTTTTAAAGAAAACACCAAGTAGAAGTTTTAAAGAAAACACCGAGTAGAAGTTTTAAAGAAAACACCGAGTAGAAGTTTTATAGAAAACACCGAGTAGAAGTTTTAAAGAAAACACAGAGTAGAAATTTTATAGAAAACACCGAGTAGAAGTTTTAAAGAAAACACCGAGTAGAAGTTTAATAGAAAACACCGAGTAGAAGTTTTATAGAAAACACCGAGTAGAAGTTTTATAGAAAACACCGAGTAGAAGTTTTAAAGAAAACACAGAGTAGAAGTTTAATAGAAAACACCGAGTAGAAGTTTTAAAGAAAACACCGAGTAGAAGTTTTAAAGAAAACACCGAGTAGAAGTTTTATAGAAAACACCGAGTAGAAGTTTTAAAGAAAACACAGAGTAGAAGTTTTAAAGAAAACACCGAGTAGAAGTTTTATAGAAAACACCGAGTAGAAGTTTTAAAGAAAACACAGAGTAGAAGTTTTATAGAAAACACCGAGTAGAAGTTTTAAAGAAAACACCGAGTAGAAGTTTAATAGAAAACACCGAGTAGAAGTTTTAAAGAAAACACCGAGTAGAAGTTTTAAAGAAAACACCGAGTAGAAGTTTTATAGAAAACACCGAGTAGAAGTTTTAAAGAAAACACAGAGTAGAAGTTTTATAGAAAACACCGAGTAGAAGTTTAATAGAAAACACCGAGTAGAAGTTTTAAAGAAAACACAGAGTAGAAGTTTTATAGAAAACACCGAGTAGAAGTTTCAAAGAAAACACCGAGTAGTAGTTTAATAGAAAACACCGAGTAGAAGTTTTAAAGAAAACACAGAGTAGAAGTTTTATAGAAAACACAGAGTAGACGTTTTAAAGAAAACACAGAGTAGAAGTTTTATAGAAAACACAGAGTAGACGTTTTAAAGAAAACACAGAGTAGAAGTTTTATAGAAAACACAGAGTAGACGTTTTAAAGAAAACACAGAGTAGAAGTTTTATAGAAAACACCGAAAAAAAAACACCGGGCATACAAAACGAAAAAACTGCCCCAACCAGGCGCAGATCTAGGAATTTCTCGACGGGGGGGGGGGGATTTTCCGAAAATTTTTGAAAATCTTGTCGACCTTTATTTGTTAAGTCGACCAAATTGATTTTCTGAGCTCCCCCAAACCACTTTAAGGACCCTAATTTCACCAAATTTTCTACGCCGCAGGCAAATTTTTGAAAAAAGGTAAAAAAAAATGCATTTTTTGCAGTTCTTTTTTTGGCGCGAGCTCCCCCCTCAAATTTAGTATAGATTGGCGACAAAGGCGCCCTTAGAAAAATTTTAGGGTCAGTCAGCCAAACATGGATATCTCAAAATATTTCAAAAGGTCGGCAGGGTGTCGGCAGGGTGTCGAATGCCCTGTTGGTCGGCAGGGTGTCGAATGCCGAAGGAGGGGGGGGGGGGGGGCGTCCGCCCCCGCCCCCCTAAATCCGCCCCTGATATTGTATTATAAACCTTTTTTTTTGCACCAGAAATGAAAAAAAAATGTTACCAGAAATGTACCAGAAATGCTAAAACTATAACATAGACAATGCCAAACTTTTGGCAATAATAGTGACTTCGAACAAAACTATCAGTCAAGTCCATTTCATTTTGGATAATTTCTTGTTTGTGACACAATTTTTACTAACCGAATTTAGTGACACTCTGAATTCAAAAATCATTCGGATTCATCTTCATTCGACAAAATACCATTGCCAATACTTCTGCTTTAACCTCGATTTTTTGGGACAAATAGAATTAACAAGAAACAGCAACCAGTTTTGTAAAAAGTTAGCTTGAGAATTTGAAATCTTGATTGCACTTTCTAATATCAATTCTGGCTATCTTTTTTCCTAACTCTCTATAACAAACCAGCCAGAGGATTGTCTGACTTTACTAATTGTAACTATCCCGACTATCCAGTTTTTCACAGCTCTCTAATTACACTCAACCATGTGGTTGCAGGCAGCTAATTAACTCAGACTATTCAAAATTTTCGTGCGCTTTAGAGTTTGTGCTTGCTAATCTCATCGTCTTCAGCATCACGTTTGACAAATTTTATCACTCAATCAAAATATATTGATGCCTCCAGCCCAAAGTAAGAGAAAACAAAAACAACAAGACTGCTCGTATCAGGGCGAAGCCCTGAATGTTCCGACTGCCTATTAAGGTTTATGGAGCAGCAATAACATTAAAAAATTAAAAGTAATAAAACAAAATGAAAACTTTTTTTAAAAAATTTGAAATTGTTTATCAAAATCATCCCCCACACGCCATATAAAGTACAAAAGGATAGATTTCGCTACTTGTAACAAATCAATTATGGCAAATAAACTTCGTTAAACCAATTTGGAACGATTTCTAGGACGGATTAACTCTCCGCTTACGCATTAATAGCCCAAAATATATCGCGCGTTAATTGTCCCAAATTGGCCAAAATGGCAATCTTTAAACTACCATAACTTTACGAAAAATGATCACAGGTAAAATACCTTTTTAAATTTGAGCTCAGGGCAACAATACCTTTCGAATGTTATAAAAAAATTCCGTCAAAAATGGCTAGTTAAAAAGTCGAAATTTGTCTGAAAAAACCCACCCGAGCACAAATATTCCGCTACTTTCGTTACGAAAGTCGGAAGAAAAAGACAAATCATGGCGAAAATTTTGGTCTGACATTTGAAGCACATGCGGAACTATTATTGTCAGGGTAGTTTTTTTCCAGACAAACATCGAGCTTCTAACTAAATATTTTCGACTGGATGTTGTACATCACCTAAAACACCTAAAAAATATTAATTTTTCTACCTATGATCCTTTTTGGTCGGAAATTGCTCCAAATTTTTAACATTTCCAATTCCAAAGTTTTTCCAATTTTTTCCTTGATAATGATCACTACTCCAAAGACGCTAAGGGGTGTCAAAAAAAATCCGGGCATCGCCCTGATACGAGCAGTTTTTTTTTTCAAAAAAGTTAGGTTTTAGAACGACATAAAATGATCGAATAAGAGCAGACAGCACCGATAAAAGTTGATCGCAGGCTGTTAACAAGATTGTTGACTGAATATTTTTTCCCAAACAACTCCGATGAAAAGTTTACAGCTCTCTACAAAAATTTTGCTGCCATCTTATCTCTCTGCGTGTTGTGTCTTTTCCAGAAAACTCTTGCTGCGTGGAGTGATCGACCAATTAAAAAACGGATCATACTATGACAACGTCCAAAAAACAATGCACAACAATTCTTGATTGGAAGGAAAACTTGTCAAGACTGATTGTATCACAACAAATTTCTGGTTTTATCTGGAATATCTGGTTCGAAGTTTAATTTTTTTCTAAAAACTCAAAAACCATATTTTTTCAAAAACATTTAATAATTACTTTTAATTTTTTTTTTCAAAAAATGTTCCCAAAAGTTACGTTAAAGTCAAAATGACGTTATTAGTGTCTAGATATGTATCAAAAATTACGCATGACATAAGTAGATCCTTGCAATTTATGAATCGGGTTTAATAGCCGCATGCGTTTTAATAGAACTAAATATATTGCGCATTAATTGACCCAGATTAACCACATTGTCACAAAAATCCCCCAATATCAGTTGTACAAAAGGAAGCATTAAAACAGTTAAAACAATAAAACTAAGAAAATTTGAAGCGTTCTAATTGGTATGATTTAAGGTTTTTATGCTTTTATGATATATTTTTATATTTTTATGCGTACCTTTAGTGATGAAAGGAGGAGCTGAATAGCTTGTGAAGGGTTGTCATCTACCACGTTGACGACTTCGAACATGCTACTTAATTGCAACAGACTCTGCAGGTGGATGTTTCCGGCTCTCCCAGCCCCAATAACTGTCACTTTGTAAGTAACCATGATTACTAAACTGACAAAACAGAAGAGAAGATAGATAATTTGTGCGTGTGTGAGCAAAGGCTCGTAGCAAATATGAAAAATTGAACGGATAACTAAAAAAATGTTTCTTCGGATCAGGCAGACATAATTGTTTGAAAGATCATTCGACCAATTTGGTTTAGAAATGGGCTCTTCTAAAAATGAATTGATCTAATGGTTTTATCAGAGCAAAACTTATGAAAAACTCAGTGTATTTTTCACAGTGTTTTTGATGCGTTTTGACTGTGAGAATTTTTGAACAAGTTTAAAGAGTACGCAAAAAAGCTATGCCAGGACATGAAATAGGTTAAAAATAATCAAGTAAAATTGGTTAGTAAAAACTTGATTTATGTTTCTGCGTTTTGAATGATTAAATTTATGAGTTTGTTGGAGAAACCGCCAACGAACAAGAGTTTTGTTTTTGCAGCTTGCAAAATTGTAGGTTAATTCTAATCTGATGGGTCAATTTGTTCTGCTTCTAACCGAACAAAGGACAAGCTACTTACTTTCAGATAAGTTTATGACAGGTAAAAAATACGTGGCTAAATTGGGTGGCATGGTAAAATTTCAGACGTCAGAGTCATAGTTTGCAATATTTTGCCATTAGAACACATTGAATTCCAATTTCAAATAAGATACAATTGCAGCTTTGAAGTAAGAGAACAAAAAAAAGCTAAGATAACATACAATGGATAAAATGGACAAAACATATCAGAAATATTTTTTTAAACCAATTTTCTCTGAAAAATTATTTGTCAATAAATATTATTTTACAATAACAGACACACACGTACTCAATTTGGCTGATTTTATGGATTAACTTTATAGTCAATGGTAGCATTTATTTTTATAAGAAAATCTTTGCTGCTTAAAAAGCGAAAATTTTTTGCAATCACTTGACATGTCAAATTGAGTAAAATTTTTTATGCAGGAAAAAAAGAACAAAAAAACATTCACTACAGTTTTATTGCCCCATCAATTAGTTTTATATTAAAATTCTCACAATTATGTTGGAACTACAAATAATCATCGGACTAAGATGAGCAATATATCATATATATTTTTCAATTTTGTGAAAATCTTTCTGGTCATTTTTCTACAAAAATATTACTTCAGGTCCTTTTATCAAACCGAGCAGAAAAAAATAGACCTCACAACATGGAAATTTTTCAAATGCAATTTTTCACCTAACGAAAATAATATTAATCCATCACATAAAGGACAAAAAGATGACATAAAAATAAGTTTTTCATAAGTTTTCGAAGAAGACATCAAAAACATGCAACATCAAAATTCTCAACGAGCAAACTCATTATTCACAAAAAATGATTTTGCAATAAAGTTGAAATGTAAATCGAGCTCCTCTAAGTTATTAAGCAGTAGAAATTACGTTACGTAAAAAGACAACAAGACTGCTCGTATCAGGGCGAAGCCCTGAATGTTCCGACTGCCTTTTAAGGTTTATGGAGCAGCAGAAAAAACTAAAAAAATTAAATGAAATAAAATAAAATGAATTTTTTTTTCTAAAATTTGAAATTTTTTAATAAAAATTATCCCCCCACACGCCATATAAAGTACAAAAAGAGAAATTTCGTTCCTTGTAACAAATCAATTATGGCAAATAAGCTTTGTTCAACTTATTTGGAACGATTTATAAGACGGATTAAATCTCCGCTTACGCGTTAATAGCGCGAATTATATCGCGCGTTAATTGTCCCAAATTGGCCAAAATGACCAAAATGGAAATCTTTAAACCCTCATAACTTTACGAAAAATGATCACAGGTGAAATATTTTTTCAAATTTAGGCTCAGGACAACAATACCTTTTGAATGATATAAAAAAGTTCCGTCAAAAATGGCTAGTTAAAAAGTCGAAATTTGTCTGAAGAAAAAAAACCCACCCCGATCACAAATATTTCGTTACTTTCGTATCGAAAGTCGGAACAATAACTTAAGCTCTTTTTGCAGAGAGAATGCTTAAGTCCCAGAACTTGTTCAAATTTCTTATGCTTTTCCGAGGTATAATTTTCCAGTTAACACATACCAACTTTTTGGCCGAGAAAGTCTAAACATATCTACGGTGGTTCCAACAAAAAAAAATCAAAAAAATCGTTCGCGAGAGTAGAGAAAGTCGAGACATATCAATTTTGGTCAGGTAAGCCTTAAAAATTCTGAGCTGGGTTGTGCAAAGTCGAACACTTTTTGGTGGGTCGGGAAAATTGAAAAATATCAAAATGTGGCCGAGAAAGTCAAAAAACACTAAGTTTTGGTTGAGAAAGTTGATTCAAAAAAACTTTGACAGTTTTACTATTCTCAGTATTCCAAAACTTCGGCAAAGGATAGACACAAATAGGGTAAATAGGTATGCTAGGCATTTAATTTTTTTTCTAATTTCATGACTCAAATCTAATGAAGATTTCTCTAATACAAACTCCCTTCCGGCTAAATGAACATTTGATGAGATATTTGAAGAAAAGTCAGATTATAATTTTGCAGACTAATTTCCGACGGATTAGTCGCAATACGAAAAGATAATTAGATCATAGCAAGCCAACTCGAACGTTATCAGATTCTGCTACCAAATCATTATTTCAAAAATAGCAACTAGAATTGAGGGATATGACGAATGAATTGATCAAGTTTCCAAAATAATTAATTGCTTTTAGTTTTTTTTAAGAGTAGCAAACTGTACAGAAAAGGCAAATGCTTGCAGGCTACGCTGGATTCTTATACATAATAATCAATTACATTGGCAGTTTTTTGCCTGTCTCTCAAAAACTCGAAAATAAGCGACTATAATTGAATAAAAAGTAATATAATTTTACTAATTTCTGAAACAATATATCCAATCTTAGCCGATTAAAAGTCGATTATTTTAAACTAATTTTCAGAGGTTTTTTTGATAAAAAGTTCCATTTTGATCAATTGTAATTGATAATAGTCCAAATTTTTAAGCTCTAATTTAAGCTATTATCATTTTTTTGAGTCTTTTTAGGTTGGTTGTTTTGTTGTCTGACTCAATTTAGTTTGTCACCGTGTTTGCAGATTTTCAAAACTTTCTATGATGATTTTTTCAGATCCAAATTCTATTATCACAAGAAAATATCAGTGGATTTTAGTTCAACTACAAGGATGTCTTGAGTTACTTACTGAACAGATAATTTATCTGCATCCGTTGTTTGCAGGTCTTTTTTTTAAATGGATGACGTGAAATATTATCAAAATACTGCGGCACCCATTTTTTGTTGACCAGCCCTAAATTTTTTCTAGAAACGCCTTCGGCGACAATAAACACCAATATTCAGGAGTCGAGTGCGTGCCAAAGAACATGATTACTTTAAAAAAATTTTCAAAAGAGCTCATAAAAATCAGTTTTTTTCTCCCCAAAATTTCTGCGGCGCAGATGCTTTCGGCAAAAGAAGATTTTTTTTTACAGTTTAAGGCAAGCTCGAAACATCTGATCGGTCGACTGAAAGAAATCGATAAATTTTGGAAAATTGGCCCGCTCCTCCTCGAAAAGTTCCCGTGCATGCCACTACCATGGATGCATACAACTCAAGAAGTTAGCGCTGCGCAAACTATGAGAGCTCGGAGAATGAATCGCACTAAGGTAAAAAATTAAAAATTATATTGAAAAGACTGTTTAAATAGTCCAAAATTATAACATTTCCTCGTTTAATTCTTTAAAATGCATGCGCGGGATAAACAAAATCAAAACTCAAATGAGTATGTTTATAAAGGGGGCGTGTTTAGGATTTTCTCGAGAGGGGGGGGGGGGGGGGCGGATTTTCAAAAAACTTCGAAAAACAAAATTTTGTCGACCTTTTTTATTAGATCGATTATATTGATTTCTGAGCTCTACTAAATCACCATAAAGACCTCATTTTCATCAAGGCGTTTTTAGTGACTTTTTGGAAAACTTTGACCAAAAAATTTACTATAGATTCAAAATTACTATATATTGGCGCCAAAGGCGCCTTTAGAAAAGTTTTAGGGTCCGTCACCAGAAATGGATATCTCAAAATAGTACAAGGGGGAACCTTTGGGTCTGCATGGGGCCGAATTCTTGAGGGTCGAAAATTGCTGGCGTGTTCATAATTTTTTTTAAATCTTCAATAATTTTTTGATGCTCTAAACGCATCGACTCCCCTTCAACTTGTCTCATTTGTGTTAGTAAACTAAGTTTTTGAAGATTCATGCATATATTTAAAAAACGTAAGCTTTTCCATCCACAAGTTTTTATTAAACATATAAAAAGGTTTATAAATTGACCCAAACCGAGTGATTCTAAGCAAAACATTCAGAGCGTCAAAAATTTATGTAAACTTTAAAAAACTTAGTGAGTTTAAGCTTGGAGTAACTATTTCATAGAGTAATTTCAGATAAGTACACCGTCTATTCGTCACGCTAAGTTATTTTTGGCCGGATAGATTCGTTCAATTTCATAGTCTAACACCGATCTTAATCTTATTCTAATTTTTTCTAGTCTCAATAGATCTAGTGTATACTGGTATTTGCTGGTTAGATATCTGGAACTTGTTCCAAAGGAGAACAACTGTCTTCTAAGTTAAATTTGAATTGTTGTGGTGCTGAAGCTACAAGTAGTTTCAGCATTACAAATAATTGTCAGTTGTTAGGAATGGATCATGATTGGTTAGTAGGAAATATTCTATAGATATAGTTTTATCAAGAATATAAATTGTTATGAATACAATTTTTAAACTGGTTTCATTAGACATTATGATTCTAATTGAAACATTTTCTTAATATTGAGTTGATATCTTAGGTGAGGCTAACTTAGAAGAACCGTTCAAAACCAATACATATACTCCTAAAACTGATCTGAAATTAGCAAAATTCTACATCAAATAGCGTGTATGGTTCAAAAAATTTGAAAAACAAAATGAAAAATTCATTCATGTTGGTTTTTTGAAAGTTTATCAAACTGAAATGTTTCTCAAATTTTTATGCACAGAAGTTGATAGACAGTCTAAACAACCAAGATTTACCTTGATGCAAACAGTATTGTTTCGTTTTTCTCCTCACATTTTTCTTCAACAACAAAATAGGCAATGCTCATTTAAAGATAATTAAAAATTATATTGCAAATATTTTGAAGTTTTTTTGTATTTTTCAACCGAAGTTTTTTGTGATTAAGAAAAAATTTTGATATCATTTGCATTTGCGTCTATATATATATTCTAGCCGATACATTTTTCTAGATACTTTTTCCATTTGCATGGTCGGAGTTGATGAGACGGCGCGGTTGCAGCTTTTCCCCCTTCGGTGTATGACTCCTAGTTTCTGCATGATTTGTAATATCTAGAGTTTTTAGCTATGTTATTAACTGAATTTGGGTTTTGTAATTTACATAGCGTGTACGAGAAAGTTTTCAAATTAACCTGAAAATAATTGAAAATAATTTAGTGTTTTTTGAATTTTTATCAAAATG